CAGCCCCGCCCCAACCTCCAGCCCCGCCCCCAATCTCCAGCCCCGCCCCCAACCTCCAGCCCCGCCCCCAACCTCCAGCCCCGCCCCCAACCTCCAGCCCCAGCCCCAACCTCCAGCCCAACCTCTCGCCCCAACCTCCAGCCCCAGCCCCAACCTCCAGCCCAACCTCTAGCCCCAACCTCCAGCGCCAGCCCCAACCTCCAGCCCCCCCCCACCTCCAGCCCCGCCCCCCAACTCCAGCCCCGCCCCCACCTCCAGCCCGCCCCCAACTCCAGCCCCGCCCCAACCTCCAGCCCCGCCCCCCAACCTCCAGCCCCGCCCCAACCTCCAGCCCGCCCCCAACTCCAGCCCGCCCCCAACCTCCAGCCCGCCCCCACCTCCAGCCCCGCCCACCTCCAGCCCCGCCCCCAACCTCCAGCCCCGCCCCCACCCTCCAGCCCCGCCCCCACCCTCCAGCCCCGCCCCAACCTCCAGCCCCGCCCCCAACCTCCAGCCCCGCCCCAACCTCCAGCCCCGCCCCAACCTCCACCCCGCCCCCAACCTCAGCCCCGCCCCCACCTCCAGCCCCGCCCCTCACCTCCAGCCCCGCCCCTACCCACCCCCAGCCCCACCCCCAACCTCCAGCCCCCGCCCCAACCTCCAGCCCCGCCCCAACCTCACCCCCGCCCCACCCTCCAGCCCGCCCCCCCAACTCCAGCCCGCCCAACCTCCAGCCCGCCCCCACCTCCAGCCCCGCCCCAACCTCCAGCCGCCTACACCCAGCCCCGCCCCCAACCTCCACCCCGCCCCCACCTCCAGCCCCGCCCCCACCTCCAGCCCCGCCCCCACCTCCAGCCCCGCCCCCACCTCCAGCCCCGCCCCCACCTCCAGCCGCCCAACCTCCAGCCCCGCCCCCAACCTCCAGCCCGCCCCACCCCCCCCACCCTCCAGCCTCGCCCCCACCCTCCGCCCGCCCTACCCCCCAGCCCCGCCCCCAACCTCAGCCCCGCCCCCAACCTCCAGCCCCGCCCACAACCCCCAGCCCCGCCCCCACCCTCCAGCCCCGCCCAACCCTCCAGCCCCGCCCCTACCCCCAGCCCCGCCACCTCCAGCCCGCCCCCAACCTCCACCCCCCCCTACCCCCACCCCCCGCCCCCAACCTACCACGGAGAGGAGGAGGAGGGTGTGTGAGGGCGGGGAGGAGGGGCGGGGGAGGAGGAGTGTGTGAGGGCGGGGGAGGAGGGGTGAGGAGAGGAGGGGGGTGTGTGGGCGGGGAGGAGGAGGGTGAGGCGGGGGAGGAGGGGGAGGGCGGGGGAGGGGGTGTGTGAGGGCGGGGAGGAGGGGGAGGGGGGGAGGAGGGTTGTGAGGGCGGGGTAGAAGGGGGCGGAGGAGAGTGTGTGAGGCGGGGAGGAGGGAGGAGGAGGGTGTGTGAGGGCGGGGGAGGAGGGGGCGGAGGAGGAGTGTGTGAGGGCGGCGGAGGAGGGGGTGAGAGAGGAGGGGCGAGGGCGGGGGAGGAGTGTGTGAGGGCGGGGGGGGGAGAGGTGAGCGGGGAGGAGGGGGAGGGCGGGAGGAGGGTGTGTGAGGGCGGGGGAGGAGGGGCGGGGAGGAGGAGTGTGTGAGGGCGGGAGGAGGGGGTGAGAGAGGAGGGGGCAGAGGGCGGGGGAGGAGTGTGTAGGGCGGGGGGAGGGTGCGAGGCGG